ATTCAGTATGACGATCGTTTTTCTTTAATTATGATGAATTGTGAATGAAGAAATAGAATTTTAAATAAAACATAGAGGATAACTCACAGTAGAAATGACCTCTGTATACTGTTGAAAACAGCATGAAGTGAAATGATGGCGTTAAACTAACCAAATGTTTAATTTCTTCACTGCAGGTTAGAGATAAACTGACAGATCTGCACTAACCTTAAAGACTTATCGGTACTAGATTTTTTGAAAGGACTAATCAGACAACACCTTTTACCTTTTTCTGTACGAAATTCGTCCATCCATTTGTTTACAGAGAACACGCTAATTCTACATCCCTTATCTTTACACTAAATAACCAACCGTAATTAGGAACAGTGTGAGGACTGTTAAAAATCGATTTAATACTTTATTACATCTATGAGGAAGAGTTTATGTTAATGTTTCTTCAGTTAGTAGATGGAGTAACCTGTAGAAAACTATAACAGATTTATTAACTATTAGAAATCTATCTACACTTTGTCACATTGTTGTCCTCTTTTCTATAAGTTATTTATTTATCAAACGTTTTTCTGATTGATCAAAAACTGACTGAAAATTCACCACAGTTGTATTAAGCTTATCTTTACACTACAGTGTCGTCGAATTGGTGTCATATATATCGTTTACTATATAAGAAGCCTTGTAAAAAGAAATACGTTGATATATTAAACATAGGATGTTAATAGTGCATCAAAAACAATTCACTATTACCCATCGTAAAATAGAGATAAGGTAGTGTGAAAGTAAAAACATAGTAAGTCCCAACTCTTACGTGCATTTTCGTTCTCACTTATTGTATACAAATTAAGATTAGTGACAAATCACCTTATCTTCATTAAATAATAATGTGTCTTGTTGGCTTACATATCTGTGGTGTTTGAATGAATTAATGATACCTTTGTACATGTTGAATGCTTGATTTCGAATTTTAAATACAGTACATTCGTTTGTGGTTATCTAATACTTCTTGATCTGATTACGTTATTGCTGGGATTCCTAGTTCATACCATAATTCGAATACTTCCGAATATCATAATATCTTAAGACAAATCATTATTTCTATGTTCATGTTTCATATATCATGATAGTATAACTTCATTTAGTTAACTTTTCACTGAATCTGTTATAAAAAGTTATGGATTTATAAAGAATTCAAAAATAAACGTATCCAGATTCAGTTAGGTTTATTTTATCGGAGAAGTTTCTTTACTGTTAATAAGATGGAAAAGAGCTTTGAAATTACTATAAACTTTATAAGAACTATTATATGTATTTACATTTCAATATTTATCAAAGAAAATGAACTTTGTCAGATAGAGTGTTTATTCATCGAGAATCATCGATGTCATTATCTTAGTAATCACAGTACTCTTCAGTATATTTATTGATATTGAAAGCTTCTTCTAGAAACTTTCAATTTAATTTGCTTTACATCTTATCAAAAACCATCAATTTTCATTGTTAGATATATTAATATACGTCAAACGAGTTCATGTCAATTAGAATTTAATTTCTTGGGTACTATAGAACAGACCAATAAACAAAGAGATCATAACCTTGTTATTGTGATGAACCGATTGAAATTCAAGAGGTGCTCTCGAGATTTGAAAGATCTACGTTCAGTTCAGTTTTCATTTGTGAGTGTCCACTGTTGAAGAATTACAAAATAAGACTGATTATGCGTCAGATACTCCTAGATTTCTACAGTTTCTAAAAAATTATATCAGTTCATGACGAGAACTCTTTGTCACTTCACTACATCCGATTTGAGAATGTTTCATTGTTTCTCCGTATTAACGTATACAACTCTATCGAGCATCGATTAGGTTTATTTATTTACATGGTTTATAATACATATCTACACTTATTCTATATTCATTTACATTACATGAGAAAAGCTAAATCTCTCTCCCTATATATCTATATATGATTGAAATTAAGAGTGCGAAATTTTCACCACATTTAAGACTACAGTAGAAACTAATTCATCATCTTATTTGATTATTATTATTATTATTATTATTATTTTCTGGTTTATTCTTCTGATAGGATTCAAACAAAAGACTCCTCTCTGAAGTGCCACAACTCGTAATTTTAGCATTGTCAAATTTTCTGAGCTACATAATTTAATTGCAAAGATTTCGTTGTTATTCCGAACAACATTTGCTTCAAAGATTTTATCACTGAAACCAGTCACCTGAACTTCAATTTTTCTGTATTATTTGACATTGAATAGCCATTCGAGTTGAGTTGCCAATAAATTATTGTACATATTAGTTTAGAATAAAATGAAATCCATTTTGATTTCAACATCCATGAATTACGTGCTCATTTCTAGCATCAACTACGCAAATCTTCACATAAAACTCAACACGACCACTATTAAAACAGTTGTTTGTCTAATCTAAACTAATGCATTTCAACTTATCAACATCTCTTGATATGAGGTGCTCTTCGGAGCAAACTAATTTACTTACTCAATATGATTTTACAATAGTGGAGAAGATTTGATGCTCAAGTGGATGATTTAGGTGAAGTTTCGTTTTCTGAGCTGAATTTTTTGGTTTTGGAGCTTTCATTGTTCATCTAAACATCATCAGCACAAGCATCAAGTATGAGTTAACCAAACTATCCAGTTCAGAGGACAATACTCCACCTAAATTTCTTACTTGCAAAATTGAATCAAACCTAAATGCTGATCATAGTGATCACAAATATAAGTATAATATAACAATTAATTATTTCCCAATCGTTCTTTATTTGTGATATCCGATTTCGAGATGATCATAAAATGTTTAGGCTTGAGATTGATGAAGATAAAAGTAATAATTACTCCGATTAGCATTCCGGAAATTCGCATACAAAAGAAATAAGTCCAACGAGTCCATACACTCCGACCAACCTCAGGCACAAAACGTCAATGGTGATTTTATTTATAAGATGATATAATTTCTTCAATGTATATACAGTCTTCCTCTTTGTATCATCATAATTCTAAATTATCTTATTGAAATATTATTATCATTATTATTCACAAATAATTTCATTTTTATTATTCATCATTTAGTAATATGGAGAATATAATTAGTACTTATCCAGCTTTACTACTTATTAATTAATTCACATAATTTCATATGTTATATAATGTTCGTTAACACATTAACTCAATGTTATCTACATTTCACTCAGATTATTAATCGCACAATTTCAAATGACATTTTAAACATTACATATTAGTCACTTCAACATTAGGAATTTTAAAAGCAAAGATGGATGGTGGCTAGTAGCGAAATCCAGTACCCGTGTTTCGTCCTACTCAGAACTCATTAGCTGGACGTCCCTGCATTCCAGAGCTGATATTCACTCCGAGACTCCACATAGAATGCACATCTGCCAATAAGAGACTGATTATTTACAGTCCTAAACATCAATGGAAAGACTCAAACAACCAAGAAAAAGATGAATTAATAGCTTAATCCTACTGTACCAGAACTCCTCAAATTAAGTTATAATTCCTTAAAGATGTATTTTTCTTATTACTTGACAACAGAATTGATGCATGAATTTCTCTTTATAACTGTAGGATCTCATGAAAAACCTTTTAAAAAGAATATTCTTTATTTATACTGTGTTTCAATTAACACTTCTGAATTATAGTCCTCAGAAAACTTCATTTTACTGCTATGCGGATTACCGAATACGTATCAAATTAAATTATTACCATTGAAGATCATTTTCATAACATTAATGCCTATAAAACTCTATTTTTAAACCAAATATCTATGGTATCTATACACTTACCATCGTTTAATTTAAGTTCATGTTGTCCCATTAGTCAATGACCATCATCCAATTTTATTTAAGAGCTAATTTCGATCGGTTGACCTTTACGTTTTAACTTCAAAAGTTTATGTCATTTTCTAATATCAACATTGCCTTTGTTCGATACTCTTTATTAATCTCGATCTGCAGCACCACTTCTCTCTTCGACTTAATCAAACCCAAAACCTTCACATTTCGCAGAAAATTGTTGAATATTTCCTGATTTTCACAATCATTCTCAACTGTGTAATAAAAACTTATTCTCAGTTTTATAGCCTTTGCATCAAAAACTAACATACCAATATAATATTTTCATCGTACTTTGCAACTAGGCTGAATCCACATACCTTGTGAAATGTGTAAATACCTTGTAGACCATAAAAGGAGGACCAAATAGATTTTCATGAAATTTATTAGTCATATCAACATAAGTAATATTTAAAGCAAGTTCTTTTATAAATCAGTACTTAAGAGAATAACATAATACGCCGCACACATTTTGTAGTAGTTCTGTGTAAAATCTATTTCCGTATTTTTCCTATTTCGGTCATATATAATATTCACTAATTATTTATCAGTATTAGCAAAATCGATATACAAATGACTGTACTTCATCTGAGTGATTATCATTATCTTTGGAAAGTGAATAAACTTATCTTTTTCTATCAGTTTTATCTTCATTCTTGAATAGTACTAATTTCAATGTTTTCTTATGTACCAGTGTTTTATGGTTATAATATCATTATACAGTAAACTATCAAAATGCATAATGTATTAAACAACTGCTGCTTTATTCTAGTTAAATGTCCGACTTAACAACAATGTCAACTTACAATCAAACATATAGACCAAATTTGAAACTTCAAAGTCTTGGGATAAAATTGATATAATTAAACCAATGGTTTATATTTCTCAGCTTCAATTTATAACCACTTAACCAATCAATTAAGATAAATAACCTGCCAGTTCTCTATGATTTTCGGTATCATCTCTTATCTTTTGACAATCATATCGTAAATAAATACATTGAAGCTTTTTTTTTAAAAAAAAAAGTGATTTATTCACTTAGAAACAATTATAACTAACTAACTAACTATTAGAAATTAAATCTCAAAGTTAATGTAAACAATATTATGAAAGTGTACATTTTCAACAACAAAAAAAAACAAAAAAAATTGGTGACAATATAATTTGACACATTGATAAAATGATAATGATCAAATATTCGATACGAAGAAAAAAAAATTATAATTAATTATTTAAATTATGAATTAAATAGTAAAATGTAAAATTGGAATATTAATTTTAATAAATAATTTCACGATTAAATAATTGACAATAAATTTTATGAATTCAAATGAAATAAAACTTTTTATATTTTGTAAAACAATATAGAAAGACAATATAGTTATAGAGGGTGGAGTAGGGTGTTGTAGGGTGGTGTAAGGAGGTGTAAAGTCAATGCATACACACATATACACACATAGAAACTTAATTATTTCTTTTATTTGTACTCACATTATCGGGATTATTTTCCACATTATTATAACTTATTGACTTTTTTTGGATTAGTTGAGTCAGAATGTTTACCTCTGGTTCTTTTATGTATGTCTGCCTTGTTGTAGTCATTTTCGTGTTCATGATAATGTTCATGATCATGCTCATGTTCATGTTTATGGTCGTGTTCGTGGTCGTCCTCATGATTTTCTTGGTTATCATTATGATGTTCAGATGATTGATGGTTATCACCGTTGTGTTGATCATTGTCGAACATAGGTTCATCAGATTCAGTGGTTGTTTCGTTCGGTTCATTTGAAGTAACTTCTTCAACCGATGAAGCATCATGATCAGATTTTATGATGGGTTCAGACATTTCAGTAACTGTAAACTCCCCAGTCAAATCTTCGTTCAAATCTGAGATTGTTGTATTAGCTTCTTCTTGTAGAAGGTAATCTGTGATATTTCATTGAAGAATTTAATTTTCAATATTAAATGAAATAAAATAATAAACGGATAGATCTTTAGAAAATTAAATTAAGTTATACATATTCCTGATACAAGAATAGAATTTTAACTGTCATCTATTGTATATAAAAGAATAAGCTTCTCAAAGAGTCCAACTTTATACTATCGACAATCATCGTTTATAAAACAGTGAAAGAAGTTCATAGAACTCAACATTTATCAAACAATCTTACACTGACTATCATATCTCAGAAAATACAAACTGAAACTGGAAACAGCTGAAAAGGATTGTCCAGGACAGATTTTGATGGAGAATGCTGGCGAACGGTCTATGCTCCTCTACGAGCTAATAGGCGTAAGTAAGTAATATAAATCCAAAAATTTTTATTCATTTTCTTTAAAATGAATGTCAGTTTTATTTTTTTTTCAATGTTCAGTTTAAGTCATCCAACGTGACAATAAATTCAGTTTTGAACTATTTCAAATTTATTTATGTTTAGAAACAATTTAAATTTGATGAATTTCACTTTAAAGACTAAATTTATATTGGAAATCGAAATCAAATGTTAAAAGGGCATAAAATGTAATATTATGATTTATTTCACCGGTATATTTGATCAATATAGTATTCTTTTGTATTCAATTAATGTGATACTCTTTCAGTATAACATTTAACATTCGTTTATATTAATTCGGTCCGATTAATTTTTCATTACAACATTAATTTGCGTAATTTTAGTCTAGACGTTTGTTTTGTTCCAATTATTTTCAGTTAATCGTTAAATGCCATTAAAATCGCTATATAAATGAGTGTATTTAATTAATAAATGATTGCAGTGAATAAAATCTTAGACTATCATCAGTATTTATTCACTTCTTGGGAGTCTCATCAGCCCTTGTGGTCTGGCGTGCGACGAAATCTCAGCACAGATACAGAAGACTCGACTAGCTTTTGCCAAGATGCGTCATTTATGGAGTAGGTGAGATATCCGTCTACCTACCAAAGGACGGGTTTACTGCGCAACAGTTCGTACCATCCTACCTTATGGCTATGAAACATGACTGGTAAGAGTAGAGGATATTCATAGGTTACTAGTATTTGATCATAAGTGTTTTTCGAATAATTGCTCGTATATCCTGGTACCACCGAGTAAGTAGTGTAGTTGTTTGGAGACGGGTACTAGGTAACGGTGGCAAATCAATTGACGAAGTAGTGAAACCTCATCAGTTGAGATGGCTGGGGCATGTGTTAAGTATACCCAACCACCGACTTCTCCGACATGCGATGTTTTATGGTGTAGGAGTAGGTTGGAAGAAAGCTAGGGGCAGTCAGACCAAAACATGGTACAAATCCATGAAGTCACTGACAAGTGGACTGAGTCATGTTGGTAGGTATAGACTACCCGGTTGGGATCCGCGAGATGTTAGCAACCGATGGCTAGAGACCTTGAATAACATGGCTCAAAATCGTTTGCAATGGCGCAGATGCATCCACTATTTGTGTTCTCTCAAATTCTAATCTTATGAATTCTTCATTTCCCCTCTTTTTCCTCTTTCCAAATTTATTTCACTGGAGTATACTCCTTGAATAATATCTTCAAACCTTAATCTTTCCGATCACTGCTTATACTTTTACTACCTCTGCCACTATGGGATTTGAATTGACAATTGTATCTCTGTGCTATTGTGGTATGGCAACCTAAACTGATGTATGTACGTACGAAGTTCTATGTTGTTACTGACTGACTTCCTTGAGTCATGCAAATCTGTTTTCTCGTGTTTAAACTTCAAAGTTGTAATATCAAGTATAAATGTTTACCATTTTCAGAAGACTGACATCGGATACGGAATCTTATCTCGTTTTATCATCACTTGATGCACAATACGAATAGTTTGTCAACACTGGGAGATTTAAAAATTTCCCCGACATTATCGATTCATCCCCTCTGATATTTAAAGCAGTCTTTGGTAAAAATTCACTTCTTTTACATCACTGTTATCGGTTATCTGACTCAGTTTCAACAAGCTTTTATGAATATAAATCAAAAAAGTTTAAAGTTAATAAATTATTGGATGAAATGTGACCCATTGGTAAACGTTCACTTGATCGGATTACGGTAACAAGCACCTAAGTGAACTGATATCACAGGGGCAAGACATCTGCCCAGTAGAATAAGTTTTATCCTTTTAACAAAATAACCTGATTAAGATTCAATTAACAAACAAACAATTGAAGGATATGACAACTATAGATTATTCACTCTACACTAGAATAAATATCTAACTCTTAGTCATATTCCTTACCTCATATCATTATTTGATTATTCTCAACATATATGAAAGAAAGTAACTCGTCTAAAGTGCAACTGAAATCTTGTGTGTATGGTTTACATAAATACTGACTATTTATATTTTATTATTAATTTCATTTTCAAATTGTTGGCCTGAATCTTGTCATTGATGTTTTGTACTGCAATTGATCAGTCTCTTATTGATATATGTCCATCCTGTGCGGATTGCCTCGATATTACTTTAAGCCACAAGCATTATAAGCAAAGATGAATGGTGGCTAGCAGTGGAATCCAGGATGCGTGTTTCTTCCAATTTGGGACTCGTCAGCCGGATTTGCCTGCATCTGAGAGTTGATGTTCACTCCGGGATTCCACTACTAGTCACTATCCATCTATGTTTTATTATTAATGTTCTACTTTTTATTGACCAATTCCTTAAATAGTCTTCTGAGTACTGTTTAAAAATTATTTTCATTTTAAACATGGTTTTATTCATTCCAGGAATTTCTAACAATATCTCTTGATAACTGGATTTCACTGGTGAGCCACTGATTCCAAATATAATTTTAAAATTCACTTTAAATTTCTAAACTGTTTAAAATTTTTACTTCTTCTATTTAATTGGACTGATGAAATTAGTTATTATTTTTTATTATTGTTGTCTACTGTTTATATACATATCCACTGCACAAGTTGGCATTTATCTATGTTTAACAACATAATGGATAACGCGATAAAACGTGAAGCCTTAGGTTTTAAGTTCGAGTTCTAGTGTGAATACATCAACACTAATATTCAGGTGCATGTAACTGGAATGTTTTAAATAGGACGAAGAGCACCTACTGGATTCTACTGCTGCTAGCCATTAACTGGAAATAGAACATGTGATTGGGTGTATCTGTTAAGTAACGATAATCAACCTAGGCTTCGTGCTACTTGGGACCCACTAGTAAGGAGTACCTGTAATCTTGAGAGAATCAATACTCTCTGTGGGATTTTAACACATTACCCACCTCCATAGTCTGAAACTTTACCATTAAGCTTTTCTTGTTGCAGATGATCTCCAGTGTGTCTGTAATCTTCGCAGCCAGTTGATCACTGAGTAATGACTAATATAATATCTATCAATTCATTAGTGGTGATCAATACAAATCGATGAACACCAGATAAACATGATCAATGAATTGAAAATTTAGTGATTTGGTTTTAGTACAATGAATTTGCAGAAACTTTTGAATTTTCACCAGGAAACATTGGACTGCTATTTCGTCCTAATATCAAACCACTCAATAATCTTTATTATATGCAATGAACATAATCCATGAGACGAAGGGAATTTTTATATCAATGATAATGAAAATTCACGGCAATCTCTTTTTTGTTTTTAAACATAAAGCATTTGAAGAAAACAAAACTAACCTGATTGTGTCGTTGAGTTCGATGTAATGAAATTCACATAAGTTATTAAACACAATAGAAATATCATTTTCAGCAATAAATGTTATTTATATAGAAAACAGTAGTAGAGCTGGAAGTTAATCAAAAATATTTATTAGTTTAAAGGTTTATTTATTACTTGTAAATGTTTTAGATAGGCTAATAGGATACGTCAACCATGCACTTACGTACATTTCAATTCTAGATAAGGACTTACAGTTTACAAACTATACTATATTCAATTATGTTTGTTTTGATGGTGGATACACATATATTTCGATAAAATAGATTGTGTTTTCTGTATTCACTTTTAACTGAAACAGACAAAATTTACGATCTACTGAATAATAACAAGATAAGCTTGAATATGAGGCCATATTTATATTTTGCCCTAGAGATGATTAATCCATTCCTCAACATTTTTTTCTAAATTTTATTTATCATGACAAGGTGACATCAGCTAACGAATCTTCGGAAGGATATTAAACATTAGGTTACTAATATGTCCTATCTATAAACTCCACAGTAATATCCATGACCATGATTCAACACACAGGATCCACCTCAAGATATTCAGATTACTCAGTTATATAGTATTTTGGACCTTTGAGTAAAAAATCAATGGTTTAAAATTTAGAGGTTCAATTAAACTGTAATGTAACATGATTTATTGTTCCTGTTCTGACTTGGTTAATGTTTTTGATGAAACAAAATTTTTGAGTAGAAAATAGGGAAAATTTCTCTTACAACTTGTCACTTAATAGTCAACTAGCAAATTTTATATACATGTGACTTTGTGAAAATTTTCATGATTTCAGTGTTGCATCCCAAACTAACATCTACATCACTTCATTAGTAAGATCCTGAAACTGAAAGATAATATTTAATGTATAAAAGGGGCTTTTATGTGAATCTTACATATGTATCAGCATGAGGGTTGTAAGGGTCGTTGAACTTTATTAAGACCGCAAACCAATCTAATCGAGGCAAACATTAAAAATCAAGAATCATTAGGCCGCTGTTTCCTCTTAGTATGTGGATGACCACCAATACCTATCTACGGTGCTACAACAGAGAATCAAATTCAGGATTTCGGCTGTCTCACTATGCTTATTCGATGATGTAAACTAAGGAATTCTAATGACTTCCACAAACTCCACCGTAACAATAGAATACAGTTGCCTACTACGGAATAACCATGAGAGAGAATTTCCGGTGTCATAGTGAGAAATCATGGCCGATGGAGTTTAACTATGCAGGGTTTAGTAAATGTACTAATTGAAGAAAATTGTAGATATTCACGTAATATTGGAGATTAACTGAAGTTTGACGTGTAAAACCAATGAATGTAGGCTCAAAAGTCTGAGTTAGGTGCTTCCTGACAGGGTCTTGGATGGGAATTGCTGAGTAGTCTCATAAGAGGAATAAATAAACGTTCACTGCTTTCATATTTTCAATGGTTGCCCAACTTATATAGGTTCGTTGTATTGATAATATACAAAGTGTTCACAATTAAATTGTACTTATTATTATTATTATTATTACTCAAAACTATATTTTCTTATATGTTCAAGTAAGTAGTACATGAATAGTGAGTCACTGCTATTTTCTTTTTGTTTTGATCATAAATAGTAATATCATATATATTTCTCTCATTTTTGACCGTAGTTGTTTGCTGTTAACTTTGTTTGTTTAGTAAGTCAAAAACATGAATATTCAAAAAGAAACACAGTAACAATCAATAAAAGCATTTTATCATTCAGTTTAAACTCGGTTATTTTAATCAATTTTTCAGTCGGTTTACAGAATTGTCGTTAAATGAAGAATCTTAGTTTTTTTAAAAAAATACGAAAAAATAATAAATTAATTGAGAAAGAGATAAAAAAAATACAATCTAATAAAAGTATAATTAAAATGACGAGCCAATCAGAATCAAGGAAATGACTTTGCGCAAAATTCGGAAATGAAAGATTTTCATCATACATTAAACTAGAAGTAGATTTATCATTATACAGTGATCAAAGTGTTTAAAATTATAATTAAAAAAATTATTCTTTTTTTTTTCTGTCATCATAGAGCAAAAATAAGTGTTAAGCATAGTAAATGCCCAGGGTTATTAATGTAGATTATGTATGGCAAACACATCAACTCTTATTATAAACTCTTTATCATAACATTTTTCATAATCAAGAATAATGTGGGAACTTCGAAAAGACTATTTGAAGCTTTATAATAGTCCGAAAAAATGAATGCTTATTACCCGAATGGAAAAATTCATATGTTGCTGTATTTTTGATTTAAAGATAAAAGAACTTGTACAAAATTTCAACGAACTCGTTATTTATGTAGACTCCCTGTAATCTTATTGTTCCGTTTTACGAAACTATTCATGTATTATAAGTGTTCTTGTGATTACTTTATGAATTGTTAAGGCTTGTCCTTGTACTAGACTCTTACCATTTCCTTTCCTTCAATATTTGTTCAATAAAAAATTATGTGAAATGTAATACACGCCAAAATATTTTTTTCTATTTTTTGTCTACTTATTAAATGTCAAAGTGAAATCAACTAAATGGTACGTGACTGGCCAAGAAATAGCTTTCTTTTTCTAGGAATGAAACACAGTATTGGTAGTTAGGCTTGAGTTTCAGTGTAAATTTTCACCTTGAGATACACTTACAACCAACTGATGAGTCCTAAATAAGATGAAGCACATCTCCTGGATTTCACGTTTGGTAAATATGCTAAATATCACATAGTTCTATTTATAATAATACCGTTTAATAATTCCTATAAGTACAGGTGATCACATGCAAGAGATCAGGTGAGTGCATAAATAAATAAATTTATTCAGTAAACAAAGTATTAATCCAATGGATACATAGAAGTAAATTTTACTCGTTCATTTACTTAAAAGTTAGAATATTTTTCGAATTATTCGTGTTATCTATATGTTGTTTGCCTAACTATTTATTTATATATCTGATAAGTAAAATGTAATTTACAAATACCTCAATCCTAAGACAATAGAAACTGGTGACTAAATAATTTTAAATTTGCATAAATTTTGCTTTACTTTGAGAGTTTATATTTATTTTGAATAAGATATACTTAACATTTGCTGTTGCTTAGCCTTGTATAAAGGGTCAACCAATAGGTTAAGTCATAACGTGATGTGTGCTACTTATATTGACATAAGTAGTATATGATGTTAGTCGTGAACAGAAGGTCTGACAGCAGAGACAAGAGGATCGAACAGTAAAGAATGGAAACAAAATGTAATTTGTATGAAAATGCAAGAACAATGAAGTCTGAGTCATTTTGAGACATTCGATGGACATTTTGCAAATTTAGCATTTACTTTATGATTGTTAGATTTTATTAACAAGTCCTGTAATTTTGTGTTAAATACATTCAATTGTCCCAACGCGTGTTCTGCTCACTACAATAATGGTTGATATGGGTGCCCACAATAAATCAACTGGTCACAAAATCATGTTGTTAACTGTAAATCAGTGAAAAATTCACAAACCTCATTTACTAATGTCATATTCTAGTAGAGGACTCTTCAGAGATTGACACCTACTGCTAAAGCATAAATAGAACCCAGAACCTTTAGGTCGCTCATCGATACTTGGCAGGGTCACAAATAGTCATGTGGTTATATCTAATACATCAAACAAATTGTTCTTTAAAACATTCAAAAGTCAGCAAATACTCTCCTTATGTTGCTTCTAATTGTCCGAAAAGTATACTTATCCTTGCATCTCCGAGTACAATAAACAGAAATTGTCTCTAAGAGGTCAACATATCTTCAATACAGCGGTCGCAATGTAATGGATAGTGGACGTGGATTCAAATTTTAAAAATTACTCATAAACAAATAACTTTGAACTCAGTAATTTTCCCTGAAAGCATTGCTTCCAGAAGACTTGTACTAGATTCATACATTCAACATGATACTCTTGTCACTTCTACATTACCCTGATGACCTCACCTTTCAAAGTGTAAATGTGCAACATTTTATGTTTATAAATATAAATTCACTGTCTTCATACTTTCTTGAGTTTCATCAAAGCTTCAATCATGTTAATATTATAATCAAACCTTATTATTGTTGTTACTAAGTAACTTTTATTATCAGTTATTCGTTAACCTGTCTTTATTAGCTTTTAAAATTTCTTCTGTAAATTTCATATTATCTTACATATAAATATTAAACCATCTAAACGTCTCTCATATTCTTTCATATTTATTACTGTTCTACTAATTTCCATTGATGAGTAGATTTCTGATAGTAGGTTATAAAGCATTCACACTGTTTTTTTATTTAAATAATCAATACTACTAATTCCAGATTGTGAGTAGCTGAAGAGAAATCATGAAATAAAATGAATTCATGCCATTCTCCCACATTCGCTATCAGTACTTCAGTCAAAGATATAATTATTCCTAACTGCAAAACTTGATAATACACATTTGAATCTCAAGGAATATAGTAATTCCTCCAAGATTATAGATGGTATATGCTGATGACTGCCATCTATCACTCAGAACAAAGGCTCACTCCCAAAAGATACCAACCACTTGACATTAAAACCTACTATTCCGAAGTGCCGAATTACTCAGGCAATTGGCCATAATCCAGCTCTATCGATATAGTGTAGACACAACTAATGGCTAGACATGTATAACATTAGTTTTACTACTTTGGTAATCAGTAGAGAACTAACGAATCTACACTGGATTTTAAACTCAGTTAAAATTACTTCATTTAATAATGAAACCAACAAATACATTAAACGCGGTTTTTATCACACATAAGATCCTTTGAAAACCAGAGAACAATGAAGAGCTATTTTCAACCATTCACTAGTATTCACTTACAACCTAATAAACATGATTAAAGTTTCTGTAAACCAATATAAAATCAAATAAAGACAAGAAATTTTATTTTCTGGATTTTTCTTCTAAATGAAAAGTAAACATTCTTATAATATTAGACATCTATGCTTACCGAAAATGCTTTCCTCCCAAAAAAAAAAGAAATAAAATAAATGAAACTGAACCAAAGAATTTGGGTATATTTAGATTAACAATTAAACAGTTGATCATTGGTCACTTGAATGTGGAAGAATATGATTGGGCTAATTTATCATGGTACCATTTACGCCCTAAATTAGCATTTTATGAATGGATTAAACTATTTGACCTACTAATCTGCATGATACAATGTAAAATTTCATTTTGAAAAAAAAATTGTTTGTTTGTTTTTTATATTTATCATTATTAAAATTTTATAACAATGAATGTCCTTATTCTTTTTTATTCAATGAATAGATGTTTCATTGTAACTAAATTTTCTATTATCTTTTGTTAGAAACCAATCAATCAATAAAAATTTAAAATGCTTCATTCTTCAGATGAATATTTATTTAGGAGAAAGAAATATCAACAATCTATGGTAACCAATAATAAATTTGTTATATATCCTATATCTCTACATTTCATAGAATCGATCAACAACTGTTATGTAATGACTAGTTGGGCTTAACTATTATCGAGAGTAACGACTTGATGAATAACAATGAATGCTAATTGAGAAATATCCTGAAATGACTAAAGTTGAACATGTTGAAATATTAGATTCAAACTCAATAGTATAGATCTATTGTGCTCATTGTTGCAAAAATTAAATTCTTTTGAGTTTTGCGTGTACACTACTAAGGATTATCAAAAATTAGAATGGAATAACTGTTCAATACCTGCTGGTATTTTATTGTTTTCCACAACTGATTAGTCATGAAGTAGTGATCGATGTCATATTTGTCAAGTATTTGAATGTTAATCAAATGTAGCGGATCAACTTGCAATATAGCCACTCTAATATAAGAGACTTAAAATCATGTGCTTTGATATTGGATGACAGGACAGAGTCAGTACAAAACTCAGATCAACCTAACCTTCGTCCTTGTCGGAACCCATCAACGTGGCATGTTAAAATCTTGTGGAAACTGATGCATTCTGTGAAATCTAAACTTTATGTATTCGACAAGGACTCAATTGATTTCAGTAAGAGCGATATACAAAATCAAGTTCATCCAAGTGTCTTTGACATGTAATCACATCTTAAGGTGGTATAATTATTTAACTTAGTTAATCATATCTTTTGGTCATAGATATTTAAATTTATGGTATTGTAAATGTTGGGACGGCTTTGAAAAACACGATGAAGCCCTCAGGGGCTCTAAAGAAACCGAAGAGACTCTATCCAATCAGAACTTGACAGAGCCTTCTAGAATATCAACGTGACATGATACGATTGGAAGATATCATAACCTGCATCCTTGCAGGTCGGGTGGTTAAAATGTTGTTGCAGCCAATACCAATAACTATAAATACCCACGTTTTTCTGTAGATTTTTTTATTTTTACCAAATAATCACTTCCCCTCCTTCCGTCTTCCAACTATAAGGTTCTACACATTTGGCTGCCAGTATTTGCATATCGTATTCCTTCAAAATCAAGGAGAGGATGTAACAGTTAAATTTATATTCACACAGTAAGTTATTGATTAATAAATTTCAGTTACTGCTCCGTTGATTTTGTACAAATCTGTCTGTTCAGTGTAATTCATATAAAAGTTAAACTATCCAGATATTATTATGATTTATTTTTTGGATATCAAGTCAACACTCGTCTGTCGTCTTCGTATTCTTACTCGCGTCGTGCAATTCACAGGCCTAGCTAGTCAGTATTTGCCGATGTATTTCAGAATGTTGATAAAATCATATTTCCAAGTCCGTTTCCGTGTTCTCATTAATGTCTCTGAAATTGAAGTGATTTTTGGTTGCAATTATTACAGTAAACCCACGAATACAAATGAACTTACGTCATCAAAATTCTTAGTTGCGACTTGTTTGCTAGAACATAGTCACTATTGAAAGACTAAACAAATATGACATCAGTCACTACTCATTAGTCAATCAGTTATAATATCTCAATCCCATAGGACGTCAGTAGCAGGATGATAAGTTCAATGGCAATATCTTAGACTGTGAAACTGGGTGATTAGTATTTCGTTTCTGCATGAGGTGTCAACTTCGCAGGCATGCATTACTGACAAAAATGCCAACTAGCACTAAGTCTAAGTCGTGCATCATTTCCTACTGACTGCCTCCAACCATTTAATTTAAATTATTTAAGCGATGAACTAATATTAGAAATATATTAGGTTGGTAACACTTCATGACGGGTAGGGTTCATACTCGTCGGAACTAAAGCAATTGTTAATAATGATACCGAATAATCGTTGTGTTGTACTCCAAACTGGTTGGAGTTAAAAAAAGAAAACAATTACATTTCAACTCAATGATCTAGATTTTAGCGATCTCTGAGATATTTGAAGGTCCTGATTTCAATCCCTAGTGGGGTCGTGAGCTCTTATCGCAAAGGTTTTCCACACTAATGTGAAACGGCCATCCACTTCTGCTTGATTTTCAATGTTAATCTAACTGGGAACAATCTGTGACAAATATGGCCTATAAATTAGGGTACGCTAACTTTCGGAAATGTATTTATTTCAAGATGACTTGCAAACTAAGGTTGTTTAACATACAGATGTATTCTACATTAGACATCGGAATAAAAATCCTTTTTTTAGACCTTATTACAAATTGATTATACGGTAATAAGTAACATCAAAACCAAAGTAAGGAATTACTACAACGATACAGATAAAACTCTTTGATGAAAAATATACTACTTATGAGTAGCTCAATATCTACACTAATATATTTAGACGTGGTTTGTTTATTAGTTCAGTGAGTACAATCTCCTTGTCATTCAATTCATTTGTATTCCTAGTACGCAAAAGAAAAGTAACCACAGGTGAATTTTTAGTGAATAATTGGAATTTTATTGAAAACAGCTAAACTTGCGAGAAATTGTAACGCTTATATGAGCTCTGTTGAAATTTATATTGACAACAGTAGTAATGATATTAATATAATGTGAATATTTGTTAATGCTATTTTCATGGAACACAATTAAATAAAGCAGACTATTTTGATATACTTAAACACATTGTTTTGGTCGTCAAAGAATGTTCGATGGCATTTTTATAATTACTAATCAGAGTTTGACTAAATGGACTGACAAAAGTCATTATTATTTATAGGACGGATGGATTTTGTGTTTAGCAGTGGTCCCCAAGATGTTCGTTTCAACCTATTTGGGACCCGTCAACTTCATTCCAACGTGGACGATCACATTGAAACTTGAGCCCAGCATTTTCGTTTTCAGAGACCAACTCATTATCCGCTGAAATACTGAGTCCAGACAGATAGTTACTTATGACATTTGTCATAACTTTAGTTAGCCCATTGATCCTGTAGTTGGTTATGCAGAGGAATTTGTTTCGTAACCAGTCATAATGCTCGCTCAATAGGTTACGCAATATAACCTCGAGACTGCAGATGCAGGTGTTTGATCCATGACTAATAAATTTTACGGGTAGTGAACTTTCCTGTTGGCCTATATTCGGGTATAGATTGGTCAACAACAGAAGATGACTAATCAAAAACCACTATATCCTAATTCCATATTATCTGGAAAGAGTACAGGATCCAATATATAGACACTGAATGAGAAAAAAAACAATATACCTCAAAATAGAGTATTTAGGGTACAAAAATAGGATACGGGGTTCGTGTTTAAATTCAAGTCTGGAATAGGAGATATGACAACAGTTTATAGACAAAAAGAAAGCTTGTGATTAGGGTAATAAGGAAATTGAGTAAAGCAAATGTTAGGATTTAAAATAATTCCGTTATTGCGAAGCTTGGTTGAAATATTAGTATTATTGCTGAACATCTGTTTCGTACAACAGTGTGAACTCATGATCCCATCAATTATCCAGTCAAGGACGTTCAATTCTTAAGCTTATAACACTGATCAATAAGTATTAGTACAAGGACTCACATCTCTCATTCCAAATAATTAACATTCAGTATTCCACGATCTTCAATAGTACCCAACTGATCCTAATTCGTAATGAATACCACCTATACTCCAAAACCTCTATGAAGCGTTTCGACAATAGTAAGATGGGTTGCTCACTACTGACTCGTTTTAAAAAGAAATGTTGATGTTACAATGAAATATCATGATTAGTCGGGTTCAACTAGGTAAGGAGTGAAGGTCATATTCAACGGGAATTGGTGGTCGTCACTCTGAATATTAAGCTGAGTGATGTTACAAATAGAAATAAAACAAGTATTACTCTTATAAATTGTATTAATAGTGAGAAAGTAGATTGGGCCAAGAAAATGTGACTTCTATGGGCAAGACGCTTCAGGCATTCTTCACACAAATTCCTCAAAAAATTTACAAGTGAACTGCTATATTTAAACGTACTTTTAAATAACCTGGAGGTTTTGGCTGTTTAAACACATGGTAATGCATACTGAAGACATCCTCTGTAATGCTTCGCCTTCCGTACGTTTCGTGAACGAAATCGATAACTACGTAGGCTGCTGCTCCTGACAAATGTGAAGGGCGAATGTTTTTCATCTGATCTTCTGTCATAAGTCACTAGCCACCTGTTTACAATGAGAAATCCATCTATCATACGAACATGGTAAATGGACCGACATCCACCATATACTGTCTGTTTGTGGAAACATACCATCGTCTTGATGGAGATGTCTTCGGTCTTTGACGATACCCTTTCATTCTGCATACATAATTAATGTACGAATCGCTATCTCATATAACAAAGTGATAGATGTCACATTTTTTTGACATAAATCCACACAAATATACAAACATGTCTCAAATAAACTACCGTGACCGGAATGAAGTGAGATTGACTACGGTCAGACCTGTTTTTGACTGATCAAACCAAATATTCTTGCTTTGTTCCGTTGTACTATATAAACCTGGGTTAATTTGATCGATTTATTTATTCTCCAAAGAAGCGGCTTACATTGAGTCACGTAATTTAATTTTTCTATCCATTTTGATCTTACAAATATATTAT